AGTGAGTCTCCGGAGTCCGCCAGCCGGGCGTGCCCCTGGAGCGAGGAAATGACCCGGCTTCAAATCGGGCGCCGGATCCAGGGTTTTGGGCTTTTCTCCTCTTCGTGCTCCGCGGGCGTCGGTCCATTGACGTCCATGTCCAAGTAAGGCGAAAGGATGGGTGGTTTCTCATGTGCATCGTTAGTGTTTTTCGCATGTGTGGACGCTCGTGAATCTTGAGGGTGACGCTTGTTCTCGCTCGGCACGACTTGCTCGTTATACCTTAAACCCGGACATTGTGCCGGGCGATGACTACGTTGGCCGTCCCAGACTCCCTTTTCAACACACGAGACCGACCATGACCAGCTTGCTGGTCTGTTGAATGCTTTCTTGAACTACTCACTTTAAATCTGGAGGTGAATCCAAACGAAAACGACCTCGGGTTAATTCCAGATTATAGGGTGTTCAAGACATGTTAAGAATATGGTATTGCGTCATTCATGCTGTATCATAATCAAAATCAAAACCAGCCGAAATTCATCTCGACCCACACATCCGTCTCAAACCATGACAGGTGCCATGGAGGATGCGTGTATGGAGAAGGGGCTGTCGCGTCCAGCTCTGGAAGTGGATAGTACGGCATCACCCCCTATCACAAGCACGACAATTTGCACGAATGATGGCAGCTCTCCATCTGTCGACGCCCAAGATTTGCCCCGCTCAGAATCCATTCGAGATGAAACAAGCACATGTCATGATTCGGGTGCAGCGGTGCGCATGAAGTCGGACAAAATGCCCGTCGAGGCTTCGGATTTGGAGTCTGTAGCGCCGCTCGTGAGAGGGACGGAAGACACGCTACACGCAGGAAAGACAGTCCTTTCTTCTCCTGTGCGCACAACAAGTAAGTTCTATTTCTTGTACATATGCTGGCAACCTGTCTATCTCAGCGTACCGCAAGCTACGAACGAGGTCCGGGACAATCTTAGAGCGCAGAATTTGGCACGTGGGGTTCTTTTCCTGTCTGTCTTGCGTCCCCTCATGGCAGCCATGCCGCAAAGCATACTCTCACGGCCTTTGGCATTCTGTAAAACAACCCTACAGGCGAAAGCTCTACGGAAAGTTTACCTTTGGTCGTCGGTATGCCTGCTTCTGTGGCCGTCGGCGGAGATGGTCATGAACCGCCAGGGGCGTCTGACCTCCGAGACTCGGCTGCCGCGGGCGCGGGTAAGGATTGCACTTTGGAATCTACAGTTTCACACCCTTCTACAAGTGAGAGCAGTGACGCAGTCCTGGCAGAAAAGCAGGAAGGTGAGGAGCGTGCGATTCTTGAGGAGACGCAGAAACAGTCGCAGCACCAGCCGTCGCTTCCGAAGCGGGTGAGCGATCAGCCAGGAACCGAGAGCAGCAACAGCTGTGAAGAAAGTACAAATAGTCCTGACATGGACGTCCAAGACAGAAGAGAAGATAAAGGCTCGATAGAGCGCAGTCGAGAGGAGACGCTCTCCCTCAAGAAGATGTTGGACCGCGCGAAAGGCACCATCAAGCAGCTCAACGGCATGCTGGCCACGTACGAGCACGAGAACGGGCGCCTGCAAGATTACATGGAGGCTCTGGGCAACAAGCACGCGAGCGGAAGTATCAACCATTGTAGTACCGCGAGGAACCTCCGGCCTTTCGCTGAAAATAGAAACCCTCCCTTCTACCCGATGCCCGCCGAGTCTTCTAAGACCTTCTGCTTGCCCGGCAGCAACGGAGTGCCTGGCCTCATGCGTGGGCCCATTCCATCGCCTTTGTTCCCCATGTATGGGCCGGAAGCCCCAAGGTTCCCCCTCATGAAGGGTGGCTCGGGCGTGTTCGGCGAGGGCCCGCGCTCGCCTCCAGAAGACAACGGAAGCTCCTTCCTGTGGCGCACCCAGAGGCAGTCCTTGCCGTGGCAGTATCAGCAACCCCACCAAATGCTCTCACAGCCGCAGCCACCAGCGTCTTCTGCACTCTCTCCCAGCGCGGCCCTGGGCTTGTTGCAGTTCTCCCAGCCTACCAGCCTGGACTCCCAGGGGAGCGGCCTCCCAGGGCCGGGAGCCTCAGGGACCGGCCGTAAACGGGAACGA